GGCATGTGCTCCCTTAAAAAAAATAAATAAAAAAAGATACAGAAATTACTAAATTTACAACAAAATTTCAGTGAATTTTCAGAAGCAAAATAAAATATGCAAGCAAGAAAACTTGTGTGCTATAATTCGTGGAAACCCAATGGGCCTTATTCATGAAACATGAACAGAACCAATTTCTGTATAAACTGCACGTAAAACTGTTGCATGAATGGATGCACGAATGATTTACACAGTTCTGCTCGTGTTTCATGAATAAGGCTCAATGTGTTGTGCCAGATTTCATCAACCCAGAACATTTCTATCATAACTATAAAGGCCACCCTTTTATTTTTCAGCATTATTTTCCAGCTAACATACCCAGGACTTAAACGTTACTGCCTAGAAAATCAATTCACGGTAAATGCGACAAGAGGCAGAACTGCGTGTTGCAAAACAAGGTAAAGCAGAGGCCTAGTGTCAATGGATGTTTTGTTTTTCTCTTGTTAGGTCATCGCGTACATGTATGAAAGCAATGGCGATCTTGAGCGTTCAATAAACTCATGCCATCTCCACAAGGATCTGACACTTAAAGTTCTGCAGGCACTTAAGAAAAGAATAAATGGAGAGATGGAAAGAGCAAGAAAAGAAAAGAAAAACACCTCCCACAAGCTGCTGCGTCTGAATGTTTGACGAAGTGCTCTCACTTTCTCTCGCGCCCGAACCGTTTTACAAAAAAAGCAACAATAAGAAATGTGAGAGAAAAAAAAAGTGTTAGGAGAAGGATTCTAGTCATTTACAAAAATAAGTGGTGCTTTAGAGAAAGGCTGAGCGCACTGGGCTTTTTGTCCACTTGCTCTTTTCCCCTTGGGGCTGGGGCCCTAAGCCGGGTCCGCTCAGGCCTGAATGAAATCTTTGGAAGCTTCTTAAGCTCTGAATGTGGGTTTTGTTCTTGCTATTCCTCCGCTTGGCTGACAGAAAATAGGTAACTGGATTAGGCCTCAAATTCAGAGTAAAGTGAACTCCCAAAAAAACTTTGTATGCCACCCCCACTATTTCGGCCCCCCGGTTCTCATGTCCACCCCTCTTCTTCGGCGTCAGCAGACGTGGGCCGCTGGGGCTGTGATCTGTAAGATCGCAGGGAGATTAGGCAGGCCTGGGGGCTCGCAGCCCGAAGGGGGGCTAAAAAGTAAGAGTGCTAAAGGCAGTTAAGGGCTCCTTAATGGGGGTAAGGAAGTGTATTAATCAACTCAACGCTACCAAAGCCCGAAGCTGCAGGGCCCGGCCGGAGCGACGTGCAGGTGGTCTAGTGCTCTACGGGGAGTCAAGGAGGGGAGGAGAGGAGGTTCAGTTGCGTACAATGCCACTATAAAAGATTAAAAACTTTGGGAGAATGGGACTCGCTGTGACCCGCCTCCTACTCTAGGAGCTGAGAGGATGGGTGGAGAGGAGGAGAAAACACACACAAATACACACACACACACACATGCTAATGTACCTGGACATCGGTGCGGTTACAAATTCATAAAAAATGTGTGAAAAAGATTTGAGTAGACTCATATACAGAAATCTGATTGGATGCAATGCTATTACGTACTACCAAATAATGCGTGTGCTAAAATGAAGTCATGGAGGACTTCAGTGCTGGTTATCAAATATGTAAATCAGTGCGTATGATTCCTACGTCTTTGTACACGTTTGTCAGAACATGGTATCTTACTGAAAGAACGCAAATGAATATAGATCAGTAATTCATAACAGGAGGTACTTAAGTTTTGTATTTAAGTAAATACAAAAAAAAAACAACGTCTAACAAATAATAATAATAAAAATAATAAACAAATAAATAAAAATTAAGGCTACCTAAAGATTAACATAATCAACCTAACAAATAAACAACCTTTTTTTTCTTTTTGTAATTATTGACTTGACACATTTTAAGTTACTTTTTTAAATAAATAAATAAATAAAAATTGGTTAACACTTTACAATAAGGTTCCATTTGTTAACATTAGTTAACTACATTACACTTCTAAAGCATGTATTAATCTAATGTTAACTAGTGTTAATAAAAATAGATTAATAAATACTGTAACAAATGTAATGCTTATTGTTAATGCTAATGTTAATGCATCAATTAGCATTAACTAATGAACCCTTATTGGAAAGTGCTACCAAAAAATATTGTAGTGAGTTTGTGTTGTCACTAGGAAACAGCATTAATAAGTTTTAAAACATACGAAAAAAAGTGTGGTTACATTTCTGGATAACTGAATTAAAATTAACCAATGATCTGTAAATTTTTTATAATTATATTATAATATATTATATTATATTAGTTTTTAATATTATATTAGTTTTTTCTGTTGAAAATGTGTGTACTTGCTAATGAAAAACTTGCCAACACTATGCTAAACGCCTTCCAGAGCATTGCTATGGGGTTGCTAATGTGTTCTGAGTGGTTTTAGGGGTTTGTTTGATTGCTAGCCAATTTCTAAAGAGCCCACCATTGAGTTTTTAATCACACTGTGCCTAGAAAGGTCTTGGGTCTACCTAAGTTTAACATTTAGGGTTAGGAGATTAGAAGAAGGGGAAAAAAATATTTGTAAGACTAATAGCAATGTTTGCCTTAACAAGCACAGCTAATAATGTTTGTAAATGTTATGAAACTATTTCCAATGTTATGAAAGTCTTTCCACAGTATGTTTTTTATGCAACTATAATCACTTAAGTACCAGTACACATAAACCATTAACAATCATAGAGGATCTTAAAGTATACAACGAAAATTAAATCAGAGTGCTGAATCATTACATTTCAGCCACTGACAATGTGCTGCAGGATATTAGTTATATAAAAACTAAACAAGCCAACAACACACATAAACGAAAGCTTGAAATCATCCCAACAGAGTCTCTTTAATATTTTCCTGCAGTGGTTCAAAACAAAACGGCTTTTCCAATTTGCATGCATTTCCATTTGGCAATTCTCCCTACAGGAATTCACAAGCACACATACAGTATAAGTCAGAGACACACAGTCATCAGTGCACGTCCTTGTGCCGCTGCAGCTCGCTCCAGTCTGAAGCTGCATAATGCAGAAGAGTGGAAAGAGTGTAGAATACTGCAAGGCCATCCGGCAGAACTGGACTAACAATCTCATACCAATAGACTTACAATGTGCCAAAAGTTCAGGAGGAGAGCGAGAGATGCTAAGTCATCTCATTATATGAATCCCAAACTATCCCAGCTGAAATATTTATTAAGACATTAATATGGTTTCTTCCCTTCCATCTCTTCAGGGTGATGCGGCTCTTCTCGGAGACATACACACACTCCTTCTCGATCTCTTACTCATAAACACACATTGCTGTACGTGCACATGAAGATGTCAGCAGCGCCAGGCTCTTATAGATATTGACAGTGAGTTTTTCCATTATACACAGCAGCCTGGAGAGCAACTTCCTCTATTCACCACACCAACACTGATGAAACGCCTCAGAAACGGACGAGGTGTTGAAATCTCAGATTCACACTCACTGATGGCTATTTCATAGATTTTTTTTTTCTCTTACTGAGCGTGTGTGTGTGTGTGTGTGTGTGTTAAAAAACAACTTCATCTGGGCAACACCACAGAATTCTGTCCTCAATGAGAATGTATTAAGGAAGGATAGATGCTAGAGTTAATTTACGGCGATAAAAAGAGGGTAATTAAGAGAATCTGTTTACAAAAAGAGGTGAAGTGAGAGGTATGAGGGTTTTAAAGCTGACTTGATGCTAATAGTACAGATAATTATACCTCAGTGTGCTTTGTGTGTGTGTGTGTGTGTGTGTGTGAAGTTAGTCTCAGAAGTGTGTTGACAGCTCACACACGGCTACTGAGTCAACGACGGTAAATGACAGCACAAGGAGTGTGACGATATGTGACGTGGCCGTCAAATGGTGATAAGACAAAGAGCTAACTTTCGGAAGACAAATTTTATGTATTTCCAATTGATGCTTCCTTGTTTCATCCGGTTGCCTCATGGTTTTGCATTAGAAATTATTATTATAATTTTTTTTAATTTAGAATGCATTATTTGTGCATGGAGTGCATAATGTATACACAAAAATGTGTGTGTTTGAGAGACTGTGTATTGTACAATCTGTAAATACTGTAATAAATAAAAAAGTTTGACTAAACTAAGCTGTCTGTTGAAGATCCTATTCAATTTCTGTTAGCTTTAAGATCATTTGTATGCTTTGTACTCTTAAAGTCAACATGAAATGAAAATTCATGCTATCTATTTTCTAAATGCATGTTAATGATCTTATTGTGAATGAAACATCTATGCATTTTTAGGACTTCACAATTTTTTATTAAAATATCTTCCTGTGAAAATGACATACTTCTGTCTGTTGACCTATGCCAGAATTTTCCAATCATTTAGTCCACTTAAATCCTAGCCTCCATTTTTGACAGCAACGGGCACATCTCAAAATCTACTGTATATAAACATGGATTTAAAAAAAAAAAGCACCTTACTTTTTTTTCTTCTTTTTTTTAATTCAAAAAAACTAAACTACTACTTTCATCAAGACTTTAAAGGTTGACCAAATTAATATTTAGCAGATATTTGCATTTCAAATTTACTGTTTCTTTACTGGAAAAACAGAGCAAATTTATTGATGACTCATCCAGCACTGCACAGATTTTTGTCCAATCAGATGCTCTCTAGAATTAAAATGTCCCTCCCCCTAATGGTTCATATCTGTGATGTAATTAATGTTAAGAAAGAAAGAAAGAAAGAAAAGAGAAGGGACAAGCTAAGTGCATCAAGGAATAAAAACTGTGCTTATCAAGCTGGGTTTTTACAAACAGAGAAAGCGAGATGAAAAATCTGGATGGTGTCCAAACTCTCCACAGCCTCCTGACCACACATGTGTGGCCCACTCACTCAGCTGCCTAAAACCCCCTCTCACCCTCTATTTCACCCCATATTCTTTTCTCTCTCTCCTACCCATCATCCTCCCTCGGCCACTCACTCGTATCGGGATGTGCTCCATCTCTCTTTCCTTCTGTGGGTTGCGATACTTCTCATAAAAGTCCTTCTTTTTCTTGTTCTCCCGCTCTTCCTTCCTCTCTCTCTTTTCAGCCGGCTCATCAGAGGCATCCGGGGACGGTTTGTTGGCTGGATCCGGAACCTTCTCCACCTCCAGAGAGTTCTCGTTGGGGTTCAGCACAATCACCCCGTAGCCCTCCTGAGAGACAAAACACATACAAATGAATAAACAAATAAACAGGCTCCAATGCTCTTTCTGATTGTACCTGAGTTGCCAAAACAAACCGGCCTTTCATAATAAAGCAAGGTGTCCGGGGAGAGGCATGTATGCCAGCGCTGTGAGTCACGGCATTGTGTGGCGTGCAGTAGAGGAGTGAACTGTTGGGAGAGGGATTAGAGCGGCTCTCGATGCGAACGGAGGTCAGTGTTGCTTTCATGTGCGCTCAAATTCAGCTTCAGCTTCAGTTAGCGCGCTGACATTCAGCGTAAAGAGAAATACTGCTACTGAGGAAATCCAGCTTTCCTAATTTATTGTGGAATATTCAGGCTTACATGATGAGTTCTGCTATATTTTAAACTGTACGTATTATTTTAAGGTGTTTTTTTGAAGTCAAAATTATAATATTTTAGATGCATGTCTGATTTTAATTCATAAAAAAAGAATAAAAAATTATTGTAAAATCGAATATAAAAAATATGTAATTTCGCTGTAGTTTTTAATCAAATAAAACCAAAGAAACCAAAAACACAAAGCAAAAAAGTAAAAAAGAATACAATTAAATAAATTCAATAAAACAATACACAACAAAAATAAAGGAACACATTTAAAGCCTTTAACACTTAATGGCATCAGTGTCTCAGTGGTCTTTTTGGAGAGCAATCAGATATGAAACAGTCTGACGCTTATTCTGCTGCCCAGCTCTAAGTAAACACACAATACACACCCAAACTCCCGCAGAAAAAAATCAGCAAATCAAAGTGAATTCTGATCCCTGCATATTCTAAAAATACGACCAGTGTTTACAAATCTAACTTCAGTGAAAATAAGAGGGGGGGAAATGTTACTACATCTAAATAATAATTACTATTTAAAATAAATAAATAACTTTTATAAATTAAATAAAATTATTTAAAAGTAGAATTATTTCAATGATCTAAAAACTAAAACTGTGCTAAAATATAAATGGCATTTAATCACAAAACATTCATATTAAAAGGTATCTAATTAACCATTCTGAAGCAATAAAACAAGTTTTCTACACATGACAAATTATTTTTTTCCACCAACATACAAGCTTCAAACAATATGCATAGCTGCAGCAACAAAGAGACAAAGGTGTCATTTTCAAAACAGCTAATTAAAAATTAAACTTCTGTCAATAGCAAACAATTATAATTATTTCACATGATGGACTGCAAAGCAAGCATTTTCACGTCTAATCAATACAAATAAGCTCACACCAGCATTTTACTAATACAACTAATAAGAACTAAAAACACTAACAAGATTATTATGTGCTCATTTACAGTTTTAAATCAATTTTAAAATCAGAATTTCATTTACAGTCAATTTAAAACGCATGCATATTAAACATTTAACACAAAATCAATGCGATCATTAAATTATAAAACTGTAGCAAATGTAATTAATTTCTGTTGAACTCTGAGTCAGTTTCTGATTAAATAAATGTCATGTTCTTTGAAATCCAGTCAGACAGCCTGTGGTGTGTAAAAGTAGAGGAGGCGTTTATCAGAGGTAGTCTAAACTGACCAGACGTGGGGTTGAAATTTGTAGTTAGTTGTTCCTGTCTGGCAGGCTGGTGTCATATAAGTGATGTCGGCCAGCATTTACTGTGGTGTTGTGGTTAAACTGTGTGGTGAGAGAGGCTGAGTGGAGCTCGGTGCCACTGCCCACTGGTGGCAGGTTGGATAAATGACCGAGGAAAAGAAATGGTGCTTGATAAAAACCAACAAACTCTCTGTTGCCAAATCTTATCTTTTGTTTTGCAATAATAATGTCTTGAAAGCAGGGGTTATGGAATAATTTGCATAAAGGGACTAAACCGAGCTTAGTTTTGAACTTAGGTTCATGCAATACAACTGGGATCATATTTACCAGATCAATAAAACATCTTTACAGCAATATATAGTAATTTCAGCATTCTTCACAGTTATTAGGGAATCTAAATTGTTAATTTACACCAAAGTTGTCAAAAAGTCAAATAATAGTTGTTGACAAGCAAATCAAAGTGCTTAGACAGTTTTTTCACATTTTTCAAAAGTATAAAGCTAATAATAATGAAAAAAAAAATAATTATCTAAAAAAAAAAGTTTGAATCGAGTTTACATTCATTGCACAATTCAAGCTAAATTTATTTTAAAAAACTGGAAGAGAAAATAAAAAATAAACAAATAATAATGATAAGAAGAAGTTGATGATGATTGTTACTATTATTATTATTATAAATAAGAGGAATATCTATAGTAATATATCAATGTTTCAATAATTGGAATAAAAAATAAAATAAAACATTTCATATCAAATAATCAAAAATGATTATACTTATATATAAAAATATTAATACATGATAATTTATAGTCTTATGGTTCCAATAATTACTGACAAAAATAAAGCACTCATGACCAAGTTTCTCTGTTTTTATATTCAGCATTCAAACTTCGCAATGTTGTGCGTCCTATTATTTGAAAGACTCTAGAGCCTCTCTTTCTCCCTTACGACGCATTTGCCGTATCCCGGACTCTTCCCATGCCCTCCTGCCCTGGCAGGCACCTCCTCGAGGGGCAAGTGGCGACAGGGTCTGGCCCCTGGGCCAGCGGTCAGCACAGGTCACCGCAGCCCCTCACTGGAGCTCAGACCCCCATAACCCGCCGCTGGACTGCCTCTTTAGTGCTCTTTTGTCTGGCTGTCTCAAACCGGCCGACTTCTTGCACATAACACAACAATGACTTGATCTCTCCGAGCTGTGACTGAGACCGCTGTGACATTCTGGAAAAATCTCCGGGTTTTATTTTTGTGTGTGTGTGTGTGTGTCAGTGTTGTTTTAATTATATGACAAAACAGCTCACCTTTTAAGAAACCGGTTTAAGATGGGGTGAGGGAACGCATAGAGCTTGAGATTAAAGAACCGAGAGCATTTCTACGCTGCCAAACAAACGCTACAAAAGATCCATCACCATGAAAACCTTCTGCCACAGCGTATTTGCACATTTACTGATACAAACACAAAATCGGACTGTTCGGTTTGATCCGGTTAGATGCGTAATTGATAAGTACAGCAATGATGCCGTGTCCCCCAAATCACCCCTTCTCAAATAAACTCTATTTTGGCTGAAATGAGATGTCGCTAATAATCCTATACCTCTGACGGACAGCCCAGTGTTTTATCTATTTGCGGCCCTTTGTTTGGCTTTGAAGTGAGTGTGTCTCTCTTTTTTGTCTCTTTTCGGTCTCTGATGAACTAAAGCGTGGATTGCTTTTGGCCCGGTGGTGAGAACAACACTTGACGGATACAAAGCACGCTTGATAGCAGTCAGGAGTGGACGTGTTTGTGCGTGTGTGAGATAAAAATGCCACGTAGTATGTGCTATATGGAGTCAACATATAACTTGGCACACCAACACGCTTTTATGTCCTACAACGAGAGCATGTTAACGTGGTAAAAATGTGTGCGTGTGCGATCAAAGCGGGAGGTGGTGTTAAAAGCGACAGAGAGACACTCCATTACAGCATGGCCTTGGCCTGGTCCCCTCTGTTTGTGCGTCCTGTTCTCTGATTGGCTGCCGACTGTGGAAATGCCCACGGCTGAGGAGTCTAGCCAATCGGAGAGGAAGATGCACCAAGGACGGCGCGTGATGATTGGCGGAGGGAACAGATGATGTGAGCAGGGTTTGGCACATATTTACACTCACACAAAAAACTCAAACAGAGATGCGAATTGAAAAAAAAAGATTTGATTACAAAAACTAAAAAATTACACCCTTAAGCATATCGAGCAAATGTAATAACAATAATAACATTTGCATAACCCTTACGAAGACAGAAGCGCAGCAACACACGAGACAAACTGACTGACCTCCCTCCCACATACTGCGAGGGAATCGGTGAGCGGCAGTGGGTCCCTATTACAGTCTTTCATTACAGGTCGGTGCGGTCTGCCCCCTCTAGGTGAATGTAAATCCAGGATACAGTATTATAAACCCGAGCCCTGTGAGACTGAGATTGAGGCCTGCCTTTCAAGGCCACCTCTACTCTACGCCCCACAGTTCTGGGTGACCTTGTCTGTCAGCGGCGCTACATGGGCTTCTTTTCTACCGTGCGAGAGGCCATTATCCTTTTCTGCGAGATACCACACACAAACCTCCTCTCTCTCTTTTTCTCTCCGTGAGATTAAGACCGCTTTCAGTTCCTTCTGCTCCTCTATACAAATATACCCGGTCCTGATTGGATGAGACGACACACGCACACACTCAGCGCTAGAGCTGGGCAGAAAGCTGGTATATACCGTATACTGTCAGCGGGTTGAGATTTTGCTGTACTGTTTATACAGTGGTACATATTTGCACAGCAAAGACAATCTTTACCTTATTTGATTACAAAATGGGACGTGCCCCAAACAAGTTGAGCTGAGGAAGAACTTGTATAGGGGTGTTGTATGACTTAACCAAAGAGTTTAGTCATTTACTGTTGCCAACCAATTATGCAACTAGTCATATTAATACAGAAACTGATGTGTAATCACAAGATATGCATATATCGGAAGTTTTACTGTGACTTCTGATAAGAATTAAGTATCATAAAAAAAATTGTTTTCTAATTTGGGATGCAATGGTATTAAATTTCCGGCCAATACAAAAATTTGAAAATTTTTACATGTGACATTTAATATATATATATATATATATATATATATATACACACACATATTGCACATTTATATCATAACATTACAATGTACAGTATGAAAAAATGGATATTCTATTTGCTAAACTGTTAGTTAATAATGGTAAATTTAATGTAAAAACTGTGGAAACTAAATATCCATTAATGATAAATAATTCCACTTATTAATAAGAATGAGAATGAGAAGAAGAAGAATATCCAATTATGATAAATAGCAATAAAATATCCAATTATGATAATGATATCATTAAAAAAAAAATCCAATCACCAAAATCTTG